GCGCCGCGCGGCGCCTCCTGAGGCTCGAGGCGGATCTCCCGCAGCTCCTTCACCATCTGCTCGTACTCCTCGTCCTTCATGGAGTCCAGGCCGCTGTCGTGGCGGTCGTCCAGCAGCCGCTCCTTCTTGAGCGCATCCCGAGGGCCCTCCATGGCCCACTCGTGGCCAGGCTCGGCGGGCTGGAACATGGCGCGGTGAAAGCTCGGGCGCTGCTCCCCAGGTGCGCTGGCCACGGGCTGCGCTGCGCGCTGGCTGCTCTCGGTGTCACTGGAGGGCGGACGGGCGGAACGGCAGGCTCGGACTGTTGTGGGCTCGGCAGCGCCGCCGCGGCGCCCTATAAACGCTGGCTGGGGATTTCTCCGGGGCGGGGTCAGGCACGGGGAATTTCCAAGCCAGTCAGACCAGAAAAGAGAACTGGCCTCGTCCTCTGCTAGGGGGAAAAAGAAGCCTAAAGCCCGAGCCCGGGTTCATCAGAGAAACTCCCTGCGATGAGCCACGGGGGTCATGTACAGGGAACTTTTTGATGAACGCTGAGTGGCTGGAAAGTCCTCCCGACCAGGCCCCCTCCCCCGGTACTTCCCTGCAGCCTGCACTCAGTAATCCCGGCCCGCTGCTAGAAACCTTCTTTCCCTGGGGTTTCCCATGATCGATTTGATTGGGGGTCGTCGGCTGCTGAGATTCCAAGGATGCAGACCTGCTGGGCAGTCCTTCCTTGGGGTTTGCCGACCTGCCGGTCCTTTCCGTTTTCTGATCTTTTGGAAACGCGAGTGGAAATGTTGGCTGGGTGTAGGGATTCACTTCCCCCAAACCTCTCTGCAGGAAGGATGCACTGGCGGTGGAAGGTCACCGGCTGCCCCTGCGTTCCTGCCACTACCAGATTCTTTGAGGCTCAGGGACATGTTGCGCCTCCCCAGCCCCCCTCAGGTAGAAGTCGTGAAAGCTTTAGCATTAAAAGCTTAAATGCTTGGAGAACCCTCTGGCCATTTTCCTCGGGACTGACAGACCTGTTGACTCGGGACGGGCAAACCCTCTGCCCTATGTGTGCAGGAAAATGCTGAATGTGACCACAATACTTTTCAAGGAAAGCAAGGTGTTAATCTTTGTAGTAGAGGTTGTAGATTCCTTGCAAAAACGAAATAATTATTGAGGTTATGTTCCTTGATTTGCACTGGGCTGCTGCAGAGAATAGATCCTGAACTTTCTTCAGGGTGCCCAGCTGGGTGACTTTCCAGAAGCATTTTGGAGGTGACTGAAGAATGGTTGAGTAGTGCCTTACAGAAGATTGGGCCTTCAGGATGGCTAAGAAAGTAGCTGCCAGGCATACTGCGGGAGGCTCAGGGCAGCCCTAACATGGCCTTTATCCTGCCCCTGCTGTTACCTTGCTCTCCTGCCTACCAGGGAGGGTAGTAGTTGGACCTATCCATGCCATATGGATAGCCACTCCAGGTTGCCCATTCTCTGGTCTCACCTGCAGAAATAGAACATATGCTCCCTGCCCCACCTGCGCCTCCTAGCCAATGACAAGAATGCATTCACTTGCTTCTAGAATTGGCCCAGGCGAAACAAAGCAACTTGAATCAGGTCTTCAGAATGCGGCCCAAGAAGCCAATATTGTTTTGCAGAGATTTCTGGTGATTGTTGCAGTCATCTTCAACTTGCCTGGCTGTGTACTAACCAACTCTTATCCTCTCCTCATCCCCTCTTTCCCCACTCCCCCACCAGCAGTATCTGAATGTAGGGAATCTCGGTCAATGGGGGTGAGAGGCAAAATAGGGAAAAATAGTAAAATCAAGAAATAAAACCTTCAGGGTAGTAATGATCACATAGTAAAACAGAAACTTCCCAGGGATAGACTCCATATGTCTCTGCAGGCATATGACTTACAAATACATATTTACTAGGCAAGGCATAACGGTGACTGTCAGCAGGAGATCTCATTTCCCAGCTCTACCTCTAACTGCAGATTAGTTGGAGAGATTCGCTGCCTTTGCTATGGGATACCTGCTTGTACGATAATAAGATTGGATTTAATGCTATTTAGGTTTCTTTTTTCCCAGATTAAAAATTGTATTACTTGACCACAAATGCTTGTGTAAGTTTGCTCAGGGTGACCATGTCTTGGAAATATCACAGCGTAAATTTTTGAAGGGCTCTAACACTTTCTGCAACTCATTGTTAGTTCTCAGAATTAACCTTGAAATTAGGGAACTATTGTTCCTACTTTCCTAAAAAGAAACTGAAATGCAAAGAAATTTACCTAGGCATCCCATGGCAGTTGATCTAATTTCTATCCCAACATATTAATCATTTGGCCAAAGCAGTCATGGTATTAACGCTTCTGAAAACACCTTGTGAAAATGAGACTGAATACGCTGTAGTTTGGAAGATATGCAAAGTATTTTCTACTCCAGTTGTTAGGTGAAATAGAGTAGATGCTTCTGCATCTGGGAATATTCACACCTGTTGAAAAAGGGGGGTGGGTACAGAAATATCAAACCCTAAATGCCCCCCTTACTAAGGATACCTTAGAAGAGGATTATTAGTTGCAGGTTTAAAAAATGATCATTGAAAAGAAAATCATGCATAAGTCAAAAAATATCTTAGAAATAAGTTTCTTTGCACCTCCTTGGATGGCTTTGTGTTGCTCGAGGCCTTAGGGAACTGGTGGTCCTTATTCCTGATTGTTTAGTGTGACACCTAGTGGTGAGAGTTAGGCCCTGCCGTTCTCTGATTTGCATAGTGCTTTGAAAATTTTGAGAGGTGCTGAGCCTTCATGACCTGTCCCTATGGTGGGGATTCCCAAGGAGGTACCTTTTGTTTTTCCGCAGCCTGGGAGACGGTTTTGAGTAATGTGATCCAACAGGTTTCCTCGCTATCATATGCTCTATATGGTTTAAATCAACAAACATTACAACTTGGGTACCAGATAACATACAAGGAAATCAGAAAACATGAACAGCTGGAGCAGAAAAGATGGCAAAACTGACTTTTGGCTTAGAAAGACCTTTCTGGACTCTTGCACACTTAGAGTTCTCCCCCCACCCGTCATTGTCAGACATTTTAGCTATTGACAGTTTTAAATATGTTAAAGCCTTAGATAACTCATTTTTAATGTTAGTTGGATTTTTTTCTTTTTCATGCAAAAGGCAAAAGAATGAATGTGGCAGCCTTGAAGCTGCCCAGGATGCAGCTAGAGGGAAGGACAAGGTGGCCAGTGATGCTCGCCTGCTTCACTGTGGGCAGGAGCAGCCCCATGGGAAAGGAGCAAGGTCAGGGCCCCCGGTGTGACTGCAGGCACGTTGTGCACTCTTCCTGGGCGGGAAGCATGTGGTGTGGATTGACCCTACTACCTGCAGTGCCCAGTGGCCTGGCAGCGTGGAGATTTTTCTATAAGTTCAGCCAGGTGGTCCAACATATTTGGCTTTTCTTAACATCGTGTCCTATGTGGTTGCTCAAAGTTGTTTTAGCCCCAGCAAATTGAATTCCTAAAGAAGAGTGCCCACAGCTCACTGCAGCCAGGCTGGAAGAGAGAGGAGCCAGGACAGAGTCCAGGAGGGCAGGTGAGTCAGGCACAATACTGATGGATGCCCCAGTATGAAACTGCAAATTTATATTCCCCCTCCAGTCCCGGGCTGTCTCCTTTCCTTCCATGGTGGTGAGCAACAGCTTCTGTCCTCAGAACCTGGGACTCCCAAGCTCTGAATCTTTCCCTTTGGAAAAATAGCTATCAGGACTTTCATTTGTAGTGACCTGCAAATTAGACTGTCAAAGCCTCCATGAGTCTTTTGTTACACATTCTGCAGTTTAATGGGGATCAAAGTGTTAAAGTGTGGCATACTCAGATACCTTCCTGTAGGGGCCAGGCAGTTTTCACAGAGGAGTGGAGCCGTAGTGTGAGTCCAAGAGGGAGCAGTGGCATCTCTTACTGAGAGAGTATGTCCCTCATACTTAACTCAGATAGTTTGTGCCAAGCAGCACCTGGAGTTCAGCACTGGTACTCTGCTGTTAAAAGATCAGAAAATGGATTTTGATGTGAAAAATTTCAAATTTTAAAGCATCGTAAAAACCAAACAAAATGCACTTCTGCATTTTTTGGCCCGAATTTATGACCTCTTTTTCAGCCCAGGTAGGATGTTTTCATGGTGCTTTGGAGGATGGCACCTGCCTTGGGCTCCCGTGGCATCACAGGGCCTCGGCTCATCTGCACAACCGGAGGCTGGGGGTGGAATGCATCTGTCCAGGAAGTTCCATCTGCCCCTGCAGCCAGGGCTGGAATTGCGAAGCCTTAGAAAAGAGAGTCCTCCTCCACCGAGGACCAAAAAACTTTTCAACACTATCCTATAAAGTAAGTCAGTAAGTTCAACAAAGTTCTGATCTTTCTTATAAAGACTACTTAGGGTTTTTTTTTTTTCTAAAAACTTGAGTTCCTTCAATAAACATCTCTTTGAGGTGTTCCTGCTCGGCTGGTGCCTCAACCAGCCACCTAGTCTGCCTGTTGGGTGACCGGCTGCTGCCAGGGAGGGAGGAGGCCCTCACGTGTCACCTGTGGCCAGAATTCCTGGCTCTCCTTTTCACTGTTTGTTGGCAGTAACCAAGTAATAGCTGTAGGTGTGAGGATGGTTCACGTTCTCTTGTGCTCAGGGAGGGGCAGTTGGATCAGGAAGGAGGTGGAGGCTTAACAGCACGTTGCTTCCTCTGCCTCTCAGTCTGTTTGCTATTTTGTCTTGGGTGTAAATCGCTCTGAGTTCAGCCAGGGTACGGGGAAACTGAGCCCTGGGGCACTTCCATACAAAAGCCTGGTGCTGGGCAGGAGATCTTGGGCACCGTAATCCGTTGAGGGACTCATGATCTCTCTTGGCATCAGAGGCAAAAGCCACTATCAGAAATTATATGGGGATGTGGACCTTTTTTTTTCCTTAGACCATACTAAGGTCTTGGGAATGGTTTAGGACAAAGATGAACAGAATGATAGCTGCATCATAGATAATCATAGCAGAAACATCGTTTCGCTCCAGTTTACAAAGATTTAGGAACCTTGATCCTCAACCCTTTCTTGTAATCACCAAGATAACGTCTTTCCCAAACCTCCTTTTAGACCCTCTGCTCCCTGGAGTGGAGCCCCAGGTGACTTGGACAAGTGTTAGAAACTGAGATGTGTCTCGGAGGCTTATCTCTGAGCTGGTTAATGGGTGATACCTATAAAAAAAATTGCTTCTGAAAGTTGTTCTTAGGCTTTTAACATACTTAATTTTTATTTTAAAAATTTTTAATTGAAGTATACTTGATTTGTACTATCATGTTAGTTTCAGGTGTAAAGCAAAGTGAT